AGCATCAAATGGTCAGCAGATCAGAATGTCACTGTAAGAGAGGACAAGAAATCACTGGTTTGAATTGTTCCAAGTTCTACAGTAGATTTCTGACACTAATTTCAGTTGCAATCGCTTTATTTATCCAATTGCTTGTTTTGAATAAGATATTCTAAGCAAGTGCTATTTTTGCTTTCAGATGCTATTATTACTAAATTAGAAAAACTATAAAAGACCCCAGAGTTAGAACAACCAGAAAAAGTGTACTATACACTTATCTGGATTCTTGCAGGTTTATGGTTGCCCACAGTTCCACGTAGCTGGGAGCAAACACAGACTCAAGATTTTCCTAATTGCCTGGTGCCTCTAAACTCAGCATCCTGGCTTTAGGCTTATGATACTCAGTTTCATATCTTCAAGTAAATGGTGTGTGTGTGTGTGTGTGTGTGTGTGTGTGTGTGTGTGTGTACATGTGGAGGCCAGAGGTCACCCTCATGTGTCATTCCATGGGGAGTCATTTGTTTTGTTTTTCGAGACAAGGTCTCATGTGTCCTGCACTTTGCTGATTCAGTTAGGCTAGCTGACCAGGGAGCTCAAGATATCTAATTGTCTACTTCCTCAGTACCTGTCCCTTTTATGTGGGTTCTGAGGATTGAATTCAGGTCTGCTTGTTTTTGTGGCATATACTTATTGTGCCATCTCCACCATCCTATTCAGTCAATCTATCTATCTATCTATCTATCTATCTATCTATCTATCTATCTATCTATCTATCTGTGTGTGTTTGTAACCATACATGAGAGTCATGGTGGAAGTCAGAGGACAAGTTGTGAGAGTAGGTTCTCTCCTGCATTATGCGTTTCTGGGGAATGAACTCAGGTCATCAGGTTTGGTGACAAGTGCCTTTTGGCATATGAGCCACCTAACTAGCTCCTCACTATTTTTTTTTTAATCTGCAGTTTTCTTTGCTAGGTTCTAGACTTTCTCCTGCCCCTGTGGACAACTTGAAGTTGCCAGTCTCTGATGCCCTTTCTCTATTGTGAACTAGAAAACTAGATAATCAAATACGTTAGAAGCGAATGTACATGAAGAACAAGGAAACTGCTGGGTTGTGGTGGCGCATGCCTTTAATCCCAGCACTCTGGAAGCAGAGGCAGGTGATCTCTGTGAGTTAGAATCCAGCCTGGTCTACAGAGTAAGTTCCATGACAAGCTCCAAAGCTATACAGAGAAACCTTGTCTCAAAAAAACAAAACCTAAACAAAACAAACAACCCTCCACACAAACAAACAAACAAACAAACAAAAACCCAAAAACAAACTCCAAGTAGAATTTAAAGGCATTTTATTTTTAACATAAAAATCAGGAGTTACTTGGCATTAGTTTTTCCTAGGCACTTGAGGTCACTTCCTGGTAAGTGAAGCTTTATTGTGTTGTTGAAACAAAACACAGAATTTACACTATTCATCTGGGAGCTGCCTGATAGACTGAAGGTAAAGAGAACATTAAAAACCCTGCTCACAGCATCCATGGTGGGTGTGAAGCAGACTTCACTTAAATACAGGAGGGGGGTGTATAAGGAATGACTCATTGGTTAAAGTGCTTGCCATGTTAGTATGAGGATGGGACTATAAATCCCCAGCACTCATGTAAATGCCTTGGGGGTGTGGTGGCCTGGACTGTAACCTCAGCACTCACAAAGCGAGACTGTGGTCTCTGGAGCAAGCTGGCTTGTAAGGCCAGCTGGAAACTGATCTCTGAGTTCAGTGAGACAGCCTGCATAGATGCATGAGCTGTGCACAAGCACACAGGCACACACTCACATGTAGCCTCTAAAAACTTTAACCTGGGCCATCAAATTATTGGTAAGGTATGTCTCGGATCCTATGGTAAGAGAGCAAAGGAAGGATAAATCTTGTTCAAATTAAAAAGAATTCTCCCTCAATAAAACAGGAAAGCTCCTGTAAGCTTTGCTGGAACAGAAAAGTCCCTTAATCCAATGCCTAATCCTTTTAAGACAGGACAGGACAGCCTTGGCTCTGTAGGTTTGAAATTCATTAATGATCTTTGCATGGGAATGAGACTGGGCATTCTTTTCCACCATCAGATAAACTATGAAAGAGCATCCTCCCTCCACTTTCTGTATCATTTACCCACTGGAAAGGACCATTGCCTGGGTAGGGGAATAAGGGAGCAACAGAGAAGGAAATAGCAGGGTACAAGTGATCTGACTAGGTAAATCAGAAGAAAGGGGGGCTTTAATTAGGGCATGTGAGGGAGATAAATAGAAAAGGAGGATAGAATAAGAGCAAGGATGTCTGAAAAAGTCATAGGGAATCATATTAACTAGCTACCTTAAAAAGTCCTATAATACATACGTTGCTGTATAAATATTCATAGTTTAAATGAAATTTTTACATTTCAGTTGACAATGTTCCCTCCAAGAGCCAAAGACTACCTAACAAAACTCCCAACACCAGAAATGAGAAGCTCCCTTTTAAGTTGTTAGTCAGTTGTCTAAGAGACTTTTGAAACATAAACCATTGCTCTTGTCCTTGGGTGCTCCTGAGAGGTGGAAGATTAAGTCCCTATTTGAAGAAACCATGCACTTCAGACATAGGGCCCAGAGGTCCCTGAGCTGGAACTGACTTGAATTCCTCCCTCAGGACTAGCTTCCATGGTACCCAAAGGTGTCTTGCAAGCTTCTAAAGGAGAGAAACAACCAGCAGTCATATATAGCTACAATACCCATGAAGCACAACCATCCTGGGTACATTAGTGGCAAGTATACATTCCCTTCTTGGTAACCAACACCTCTGTAATTGGAGCTAAGGGCCACTAGACAAGAAGAAAAACCATGACAGGTACTGAAAACCTAGTCAATTCCCCAGGGCTAGTGAAGTCATTGATCTTGCAGGAAAACCTACAACTACCACTTTACTAAAATAGTATAATCCCTAACTACATTCTAAACATTTGTTCTTATACTAACAGATTAGTGTAGTTCTTACCTCTCATCAAGGAAACTCTCTTTGGAACGGATGGGCTCCATTACAGAAAATCACAACCAGTCAAAATGAATAGTTGTGGAGCCCAGTCTCAACTGATATATCCACAAAACAACTCCCACACCCAAATCTTAGGGAACATTGCAGGAAAGGGGGTAGAAAGATGGTAAGAGCCAGAAAGAGGATCAGGGAGTTTGCTGTGAGATTGTGTCTCTTAGTAATGTCAGAACCTACACCAATGTGAATGCCTAAACATGAGCTGCACAAGGACAAAATCATAGATATGCCAAAGTGGATGAGGGAAAGCACACAAGGCCTCAACCCTATGCCAAGAAATACAGGCACCTAAGGAACACTCAGAGTGGGAGAAATAGTCTTATCCAAAGAAGAATACATCTACTGGGTATCCAAAACTAAATGGTCAGCCCTGAAAACATGCATATAAGTAACATTATATTGACTGAAGAGGTTATATTTAGGACTATATATGTTTATCTGCATATGCATATACCAATAATTAATGAAAAATGAGGACATTAATTTGAAAGAGAGCAAGGAAGAGCATATAGGAGGATTTGAAGTGAAGGGGGAAGATGTAACTACATAATAATCTAAAAATAAAAGAAAACGAATAAATATAACACAATTGACAAAGAGAAGTGGTTACATTTAAATATCCATGGAAACTACCACCACCACCACCACCTCAACAAAACTGCTGATTAAAATCTGCAAGCACTGACAAAAACATCAGCAGGCAATTTCCTAGTCAATTTGCAGATGGTAGAGTCTGAGTTGTTTATTCGGGTGGAACACACTCTGGTCCTCAGAGCTGTCTTTTCTTGCTCATCCACTACAGGGCCAAGATGGTGGTTTGGTGCTTTCAGGCAAATAGTCTGTACATGTCTGCAGGCATGTGATAATGCCTGTATTTATCTCTGGGCCGGAAGTTTCTCTAGGATAATTTCCTAGTCCCTCTTGCTTGCTACTCTCACCACAGTGCCAAGCACAGCACTTGATGGAAGCAAACACTGGAAAAGCAAATGAGTAAATGGAAGAACCTTCTGGGGTCTTCACCACTATTCAAGATACACACAACCAAATGAGAATGGGTCATAAAGGATGATGCTCTGAATTCTGTGGAGGAAACTGTCTATGTTAATGACTTCTTATTCTCTCAAAAAACATCTTTTAAAAATGCTCTTGGGAAATAGCTACTGTTGTCTTTGTAGCCACAGTGGTCACTGGCTAAATAACATCTCTCCACTTGTTTATGTAATTCAGGATTCAGCCAAGGTCTTGCTTATAGTCAGTTTTATCCCATCTCTTCCTTTTCAGTGTGGATAAAGATTCCATGTCTTCTTTCTTTCTTTCTTTCTTTCTTTCTTTCTTTCTTTCTTTCTTTCTTTTATTTTTTTCTTTCTTTCTATCTATCACTCATCTATTTATCTTTCATAATCATCTATCACCTATTCATCATCCGTTCACTCCCCTGTGGGGGCACCCTTCTAGATCAGTGGGTCTCAACCTTCCTAATGCTGTGACCCTTTGACAGAGTTTCTCATACTGTAGTGATATGTGCTTCCTGTTACAATGTTCTGCCTTGTATGGCCCTAAAGCTTTGGGCAATTGTATGGACCAATTGACTACGGACTACTAAAATCTTTGACACTTTGAGCCAAGATAAATATTTTTCTTTTATAAGTTGATTTTTCTAGTGTATTTTGTCATAGCACTAATGCATATTGTCAAGATAACCAATACAATTTTACAAAGTAGTTGTTTCAAATCCTGTACTGGCTAAAGGAAGAATTAAAATATATACATCCTTACAAATAATATGGATAAAATTACCACACACCTCAAATTTATGTTACCAGTTTACAAAAGGCTCACATTTAATTCTGACCTTAATTCTTTTCTTGATTATTAATAAAACATTTTTAAAGATTACTTTTTATGTGTCTGGATGTTTTGCTTGCATGTTTATCCATGCACCATGTGTATGTAGTACCTGTAGAAACCAGGTGAGGGTGTCAGATCCTCTGGAACTGGAGCTACACGTGGCTGGGAGCTGCAAGGTGGGTGCTGGAGCCAAACCCGGGTCTTCTGCAAGGATAACAAGTAGTCTTAATTGCTGAGCCATCACTCTAGCCCCTTTCTCTGTGTTTTCTGATGTGAATTCCATACAACCAAGTGGAAAAACAATGCTTGAAATAGTGTGATTATTAGAAAAATTTAAGGTTATTTACTATTTATAGGCTGGCATAATTAAAATATCAGTTTTAAATAATATTTGAACAAGTGGCTAGATAAGGCACTTGTATGTCATAACCTGATGTAATATTATTGATGTTTGTAAAACAGAACAAAGAAGAAATTCACATAGTCTTTACCCTATTTTTTGTAGGCATTTGATTTAATTAGGGAGGATTTTAAGTAGGGTGGTATTTTGTCAACAGGTGCTATCTAACTTTATAACTGTGAGAACTGGAAGCATCTTATAAACTGTTTATTCCCACGACCTCATTTAACAAGAGGAAAACCACAAAACTATAAACTGTAGACAGGCTCGTAAATTCGAAAGTCAGCAATTTCCTTGAGCTGTTTTAGCAATCATTCTTAGAAGACTAACAGATCGAGAGTCTTCCCCTTCTTCCACAGAGAAAGAAATGCCTGGGCTGCCAAGAGACATCTCAGTGGATGTGGTAGGTGGGTCTTCCCTGCCAGGTCCAAGAGCTCCCACCTTTGTCTCTCGGCGCTCTTTATCTTTACATGGTACTGATCAGTGACTTTGAAAATGACCACTAGAAGTTCCTCTCACTAATCTGGAATAAACACTGGTAATCATTGAGTGAGTGCTACACAAACGTCTGTATTCCTGGAGCTGAGTTTTAAGGTTTTCTTTATTTCCCTTGTTTCCTAGTTTAAAAAAATATCATTTTTTAAATCGAATGCACAGCCCTAATGACTCTGTGGCAAAGTCATTTAATTTTTTGTCATTATCGTTAAAACAGTGTTATTATAATAGTCTTCATTCTTTAAAGGCTTGGCTTGCTTTCCCTTCAGTGTTAAGCATTTCACCTGAATCATATTACCTACTCTCAACAAATCGTATGAGGCAGAATTATTGTGGTCCCTTTTTAAAAAGCTTTTTATTATATATTTAAATTAGAAACAAGCTTGCTTCACATGTCAGTCCCAGCTCCCAATCCCTCCCCTCCACTCCCGTTCCCCCCCCACCAGTCCCCATGGTCCCTGTTTTATAGAAGAAAAATTGAATAAAATGTGTCTGGGATGAGAATTCTGAGTACCTGACTCAGAACCTTTGCCTCAAATCTTTGCTCTGAGCTAGTTCTTTGCTTCTCTGACAGCTACTAGAGACTGCACCCCAGTAGCTAAAATGTTATGAATGAAAACACCTTAATAAAAACCACACCAATAATATCAATTTTATTTAGATGAACAATGTTTACCTGCCTTACTCTCAGCAGGACAAGGCAGTTTGAGACCATATATAAATTGCAGATTTGCATTGCAAATATTAAACTGCATTAATTTCCTGAGTGCTTGGCACATTTATCTCAGAAACCTGGTTCATATTTTTCTACAGAGGTTGAATCTGGGAAGAAGAAACGAATATCATTCCAATATTTATTCCTTCCAGGGCTGATCAAGTTATTTCATACACTTTGGTGTCAGTAGGAAACTCCCAGAGGAGCCCCTTTATTCTTTGTTAAAAATACAATAAAAGGAAATAATTGCTACAAATGTTTTTTGGATAGTAACAATATAAATTCCTTGGGTAGGATGGGTTCTGCATGCAAATGAATATTTGTAGATTGAATAATGGAAGCAACAGAGACTGCCTAACGAAGAATCCTCTGAAGAAATCTAAATAAATTGCCAACATACATCTGAAATCATGAGTAGATGTCCTGGGTGGCCTCTTGGAGCACTTACTCTTTGTCATTCTCAAACGAAAACTTTATTTTACTATTATTATAGATGTTTATGTTTTCTCTTCCATTTTTAATCTGTCTGTCCAATTTCCATCATCATCCCACACAACTTTCCCAAGTCCTTTGTTAATTGGCCCCTCTACACATGCAAAGACACTCAAAGTGGTATGCACAGATTAGAATTCTGGTGGGGGCTGTTTCTATAGTGACAAGAGGAGGTACTCTGCACTAGGGACAAATTAAAAACAAAACGTAATTTACTAGTGCAAATCACACACCGACTAACTATCACGCAGTGTGTGTGTGTGGTGTGTGTTTTTATGCTTGCATATAAGCTGCTGAGGAACCTAGGACCTCATGCATTCTAAGTATATGCCCTACCACTGAGCTTCTTCTGCTGGTTCTTAAATAGCAACTGTAAGGTTTTCTAGTCTCTCAAGTGAAAGTCAATCACACAGTAATACTCTGTGACATTCACATTGATCCTTATGACTGAAGTGCCTTTTAATCATTCAGCAACATTGATTTCTCCAAGACCTAAGTGGACCATTTTATAAGTTGAGATTAAATATCCTCAAGTTTCAATTTGCATACAACATAAATTCTATTGTTATTTTTATTATTATTGAGGATTTTGATCCTTCTGCCTTCATCTCCTGAGTGCTAAGATTAAAGAGATATCCCAGAGTGCCAAGTTTATGTGGTGCTGTAGATCGAATACAGTGCTTTGTGTATGTTAGGTAAGTACTCTACCTACTGAGCTACACTGTCAGTCCTATAAATCTTATTTAACCAACAACAGCAGGTCTGGTTACTGATCAAATGGGACTTGGAATAATGGAGTTCTAGCATATGCCAAGCTATCCTCAGAACTCTAGCCAAATACTTCAGAGTTGGAAATGCTAATGAAAATGCTTTCATTTTTTCATTCTCCCAGTTTAGGAATTCTCTGGAGTGGCACAGTACAATGACCAAAATCAGTCTCCCAGAAGGGCAAAATGGATGTGAGTGCACATGTGCATGGGTGTGCCTGTTTATGTGTGTTTTAATGCACATGTACTTGTCTTGTATGGGTGCATGTGAGTTAGTGTGTGTGCAGGTCAGAGAAAAATCAGGAGCTTCAATTTCCCTCTGCATTTTGTTTAAGATAGGATCTATCAATGGGCTGGAATTTTGCCGGAGCTAGCTGGCCCATGAACTTCATGGATAACATTGTCTCTACGCCCCATCTCACCACTTCTGGGAGTACAGGCATGTGGCATCATACCCATCTTTTTTAGGTGGGTTATGAAGATCATGGGTTTTTACCTGGGCTCTAGGTTTTTGAGCCAGGCCCCTTGTGCTCTTGAGACAAGCCCTCTTCCCAGTCCCCCAAAGGATCCTGTTTTGAGTACATTTAAGGTAAAATTGTCAAGGGTCAAAAGGTAAAGTCTGAGGACCAGTAATGATTCCTCTTTCTTTAGCAAATGGTGGCTTCTGAGTTTTACTAAAAGACGAAGCAAAAATTTAAGAAAGAAAAATAAATATGGACTTGGCCTTTGGAATGAGTGAGAAGCAGCCTTCAGTGCTGGGAGGCTAATTGCTTGGCTCCCAGGATTTCTGTCTGCCCTCAGAGGAATGAAGAACCTTTGTTTCTGGTTATTTCTGTGTGGATGCTCACGTCAGCACCTGTTTCACAGTTATAATCCTTCCTAGAGCCACCAGCAGTGTTGATATTCCACAGAAATAATCTTCCCTCAATACAGCTATTCACTCAATATGAAGGTCAAGTTATCTCTGCTCTGAATAAGTACAGAGAAGGGCTAGCTCATAAAACAGAATGCTTCTCAGAATTTGCATAAACCTCCTTTGTCTTCTACAAATTATTCCTTGTTAAATGAAGGTGGTGTTTAAAGGCTAATTATATTTATCAAACGAACTGAATCCATCTCTTTTGGACTAATCACATATTCCCTAGGCAATTTCCCCTCTCTGACATCAGGGAGGTAACATAAAGCAAGATCTATGCAAATTGATTCTCATTATCAACTTAGTGGTTTCATTTTTAACCTAGAAATTGACTTCTGCATAGCAATTGTTATTTCGCTGTCCAGACATTTCGCTAAAAAGGACACACTCTGCATTTAAAAAAAATCTATGAAATAAAAGCATCACACATAGATGGCTATTGTCCTCCTAAGACAATGCTGATCAAAAGTCCTACATAGAGGATGGCAGTGATGGGAAATTGATTGTTGAGAATCAGAAAAAAAAAGTTTCCATGAAACTCCAGCTTCAAATAAGAGAGAGCTGACTCTTAGAAAATGGAAATCAAAGAAGAAATGAGGAATGTGACTCTCAGGGAACTAGTGGCCGAAAGCATAAGTATGTTTTTCATTAGCTCAGATCATGGGTAACTGTGTGTGTACATGTTTTGTTCTGGTGATAGTTTAAAATAACTCCAGATCCAGGCAGATGGCTCATCCCTGTAATTCTAGCGCTCAAGAGGCTGAAGCAAAAGCATCAAAAGGTCCATGTTATTCTGAGTATTTGTTTTAGGACAACCTAGGCTAATTATAGAGAAACTATGTTTCAAAACAAAACAAACTCTAAAGAACTGATAAAGTAGCAAAGTTTTGTAAATCTTTGAAATCTAAAAGTACATTTTCAAATAATAAAATCTTTACCCAACTCTTCTTTCTGTCGTGTCCCTTAAAGCATCCCAGTCTCTAACAGTGGTGGTTTGAATAGGAATGACCCCATAGACTCTGAATGCCTGGCTCATAGGGAGTGGTACTTTTAGGAGGTGTGACCTTGTTGGAGGAAGTGTGTCACTGTGTAAGTGGGGTTTGAGGTCTCATACATGCTTAAGCTACACCCAGTGTGGCATGTATTCTCCTTTTGTCTGTGGAACAAGATGTAGAACTGTCAGCTCCTTCTTCAGCACCATGTCTGCCTGCATGTCACCATGCTTCATGCCATAATGATAATGGACTAAACCTCTGAAACCCTACACCAGCCCCAGTTAAATGTTTTCCTTTATAAGAGTTCATGGTGTCTCTTCACAGCAATGGACACCCTAGACACAGATTTAAAAAAATTAACTTACAAATGAAATGGAAACCACTTTGCTAATAATATCCATTTAAATTCCAGATGAAGCCACAT